ATATCAGCCCAGAGCAAGTCACAGGAGATCTGTAGTAGTGAGCAGATGAAGAGCCCACGCAAGGGGCTGGCCTGTGACTCCCACTGGCATGTAGATATTGTTCTCACATTAGCCGCAGGAGCTGTGCAGAGAAGTTGTGGGAGATGTTCTGGCTTGCTTTCTTGACCTCTTCCTGACCATCTGCTCCTTCCTCCAGACTCAAACTGCCAGGTGTCTGAGGCCAGCCCGGGAATCCGAGCTGTAAGCGACCCCTCGCTGCCTTAGCTGGTAGACTTAGCTGCTGCACGTGCACACCAGCACACATGCACGTGCACACCAACACATGCAGGTGCGCACACACCCCTGCCGGCTGCTGCAGGCTGTGAGTGCTAAGGCCTGGAATAAAGTAAGATGAACAGAAGGAATGATTTATGAAGACAGGTGTAGTCAGAGAGGTAGGAAATGACCCTGAGCAACCAGGAGAGAAATGTGCTGTGGTGAAAGCCAGGGCTGCTCCTTGAAGGACGAAGATGGGACCATCTGGGTCCTCCCAGTAGCCGGAAACCTGGAAGTGGAAAGAATGACATCACATTCTCTGAGATGAGAACAGCCCATCTCAGTAGAGCAGTGAGACTGAGGTCAGCCAGATCATGGGTGTTGGGAGTACTGAGCAGTGAAGAAGCAGACATGGTGAGCGCCGTCATGTCTGTCCAGTTTTTGGACAATGTTGAAATCTCCACTCTCAGCTGGGCTTTTGACTGCAGTAGAAAAAAATGCTCTGGTCATTTTTCCCATTCAACTTTTGCAAAAAAAAGTACAAAGGTATAAATGATATGTGCACATTTATTAAAACCATGCAGATGCTCAACCATAGCACTCACTGACTTTGTTTTGTGAAGAATTCAGATGGCCTACAGCTCAAATGCACTCCACTCTTGCTGTAGACTGTTAGAGAGCTCAGGCCACCCCTGCCATCCTCTGGTTCTTCTCTGAATTGTGTATCACGTGACTAGTATAAAAGTAACAGTACTCAGCAAATCAGATGCTCTTCTGTGGACTCATTGGCATTTTAACTCTCTTTAAGATTTATGATAAAAGACTAGAGGAAACTGGGTTGTTTAGATTGGAGGAGAGAAGGTGATGGGTTCCTTTGACTATTGGATTCAAGTAGGGACTGAGAACAAACTATTCACCCAAAAGATAATGAGCTGGTGGCAGAAGAGATTTTGTTGAAGTTGGTTAAATGAAAATACTGACCACTAGGATTAACTGAAATAATCTTGATGGAAGACTTACAGAGGACAGGGCCAGACCAGTGTGCCTTTGACCTCTAGCTGAGCCAGTGGAACTTGGCTAAGCTAGGCTGGACCACAAAGAACCTTCAGTGATTCCTTCTGTCTGGGCTACATGCGGCCACAGAGCCGGCAGCCGCTGGGGCCCTTTGCTCTTGGCACAGTGATAGCCCTCTGGATCTCAGTACTCCACTGGTGAAGAGGGAAAATGTGTCTATGCAGAAATCAGTGTGTGAGTCACCACTCTAACTGGTTACATGTTTTAAAGTATGGAGCAAGTTTGCAGCGATGCAGAAGCACTGCTAATTAAACTATTAATATCAGTCTCAGCAAGAATGGTATTTACCTTGCTGATTTCAGTTTTTATTGAGCTGTGTGCTTAAACGTGATGCTTAGACTGACAGATGTAAAGTGACTTGTCATGGAGGGTGAATTCTCTTCTAGTTCATGAAATAACTTCAGTTATTCAAGTTGCCTCTATTTGTTATAGCCAGTTATAAAAATATTAGAAAGCCCTGTAAAGATATTTAATTTTAATGTGACCTTCATACCCCAGGTGCAGGTTAGATAAAACCTGTTTGTCCCAGAAAATTCAAATTCTATCGTCTCATACCTGCTGTGTTCTCATGTCAAACACCAGAGACCCTTTCTGAACCAAGAATACGAATCTGCCTTCTAATTTTCTTTTCCCTCCAGAAGATAATATCCTTAAGCCATTTCCTGATAGAGTTTTGGCGTATGTTAGTTAATTGCAGCTGCTTCACATGAACGATAGAAAGAGTCTTGCTTTTGTTATGGTGCAGTGTCCTGATTAATTTGGTCTTTACCACTCCCTAGCTTTTGAAAGCCTCATCAGGATTTACCTTTTCCCGGTTTTATTGGAGTCTGCTGGGGCTGTAGCAAGCAGTTTGGCATCTTGTGTTAACCAGTTCCTGACCTACAGTGAAACCAGATGCCCAGAACAATTTGAAGACCCTCAGGGATATCACACTGTGTCTCGATTGTAAGCCAGATGTGGAATGGCAGTTGCACTGGTTCCAGAAGGATTTCTGATATCACAATAATGGATGTGCCAGCCTACTGGAAAATAGCACGTCAAATATTTATCAAAGGAATTGATGTAATGTTTAAAACAAAAACAGCACTTAAAAAATGTTTTTA